ACAGTGAATACTTATTTTTGTGAATACTAAAGAAGTGTTTCTAAATAATTAATACGTTATAGTAAAATTAGCACCAAATTCAACTTCAGATCACATATTTTTCAAAATTTTCCTGGGGGGCATGTCCCCAGACCCTTCCCCTCCCCCCACTTAACACTGGCCAATCCAAAATTGCTTCCTCCACCCCTGGGTATCTCTTTACTACAAATAACTAAAAGATGTCAACAAGTAATCCGTTGCTCCCCGAGATTAGCCATTGTTATGTTCAACGTCGTAAGCTGTAATCTGAATCTATTATTGTTTCGTGGATCTATCCTTCGTTCCAGAGTATTTGGGAAACGGTTTCAGTTTTGTTATTGTTGATTGCTGGGTCTCCCGAGTACTTTTTTCTGTCAAACGTTTTTACTAGGGACGAGAATGGATTGTGAACAGTTCCACTATTAATTTCTGTCCGTTGATATATCAAAAACAGATGTCCCTCGTGTTTCGAACAAAGGACATCCACGTATGAACACTGTTCGTTTTCGTAGCTACAATAAGTATGGGTAAACCTTGTCGGACGAACACACATAATACGCTAAAAGTGTCATAGCGCCATCTAGTGGTGATAATTTTTATTCATTGTTTTTTTTTTAGGAGTTTTTTAAAATTTTGTTTATATTATAGAGAAGAAACACGAGCGAAAGGACAGTACTACTTTTAGACCACCACAAATACTTTTTTAAAACAATATATCATGCTTTCTCTATACAGATTAAACGCTGAAAGCTGGTCAAGAATCACAAACCATTAGGCCTAAAATTTCGGATAACAATCACGAAAACCGAAGACGTTGGTTTATACAAATTCCTGTTAATTTATACATCGCGGAATCAAAATGAGAGGCGTGTAAAACAGCATTCTGGGACTATTCTTTGTCTCCCACATGTCACTGTCCAAGAGGCTTTTCGTACGATACCAGAACTCGTACTTCTGCATATATTTTAAGGGAATTATATCTCAAATGAATGATGAAACGACATCTACCATATGTGATTCTTCTTGAAATTTAAAGCAACTAGAATCCATGGATTAAATCGGCATACACTATGAAATATATGTCAGTATATAAACGTTATCACAGGAATATATGTTGGTATACAAATAACATTTTTAGTACATCGTATGTATCTGGTACATCATACAGGATATTGTAGTATGTTTTATAATATATCTGGTACATCATACAGTATATTGTAGTATGTTTTATAATGTACTTGGTACATCATACAGGATATTGTAGTATGTTTTATAATGTACTTGGTACATCATACAGTATATTGTAGTATGTTTTATAATGTACCTAGTACATCATACAGTATATTGTAGTATGTTTTATAATGTACCTAGTACATCATACAGTATATTGTAGTATGTTTTATAAT